CCACCACCACCACCACAGGTCTCGACCCGATGCAGCGGGAATTCCGTCGTCTGATGGATGAGATGAAGTCTCACGACCATGATTTCCACCGTGCGCCCGGCCGTCCTCGCCCCTGCGTGCCCTTGTCCGCCCTTCTGACCTCCCCGCCCCCCTCGTGTCCCTCCTGCCCTGGCCTCGGTAGGCGCCAAAAATGCGGCTCTCAGGCGGTCAAACAACTACCAAAAGACTCTGGCCTCCTTGTCGTCCGACACATCGATCTCCTACATTGCGCCGCCGAGCTCGCGCGATCTGTCGGCTCTACGTAATGACCACCTCCGGTCTTTGACTGCTCTGTCCCGAAAGGCCTCCTCCTGTGGCAAGGCGCGGGCCCTCCTGCGGCGGACAATCACCGCCCTCGATCGGACCCTGGTCAAGTATGAGCTAGATGTCGAGGAGGAACGTGCGCGCGAGCGGGGAGCCGTTGCCGGGAGTGAATTGGCCGCCACCCCGATGGATCGTCGATCCCGTGCGTGTGACAGGCATCGGCTTCCCTTTGCCTGGGCGAGGGCCCATCCTCAATCTCTCTCTCTCTCTTTTCCCTCTCTTTTTCCCTCTCTTTTTCCTCTCTTTTTCCCTCTCTCCCTCCCTCTTTCTTTTTCCCTCTCTCCCTCTTTTTTTCTCCCTCGCGCTCTCTCTCTTTCTTTTTCCCTCTCTCTCTCCCTCTTTCTTTTTCCCTCTCTCTCTCCCTCGCGCTCTCTCTCTCTCTCTTTCTCCCTCCCTCCCCCCCTCCCTCCCTCTGACATATGTGGAATTCCAAACAAACAGGCCCGCCGACTGGCCCCCTGACGCTGCCTCCTTCTCCGCAGAAGAAGAAGCAAATCAACCCCATCTTCACATCGCACCCGGTGTCGGCGCTGCTATACCTGCCGGAGTCCTCCTCCACAACGGACACTCTTCCCCTGGGAACGGGCACGATCGAAGAGGAGGAGGATCCGGAGCCGACCGAGGGCGCCGATGGCGAGCCGCTTTACTGCTACTGCCGGAACATTTCCTACGGCGACATGGTCGCATGTGACAATCGCCAGGCACGTATTTCCCTCTCCCGCCCTCCTGCATTGTGTGACTCCTTTTGCTTGTGTGCCTGCTGCCTCTGCCTCTGTGTTGCTCTTTCACGGCAACCGGCCTGTTGTCTGCCGCCGGAATCGAAATGACTAACTTCTCCTCCATGCACATAGTGCACATACGAGTGGTTCCATTACTCCTGCGTCGGGCTGTCCCTTCAACCGAAGGGCGTCTGGTTTTGCAGCGAGTGCCTGGTCAAGCAGCGTGATGCACGGCTACTGCGTAACAGCAGCAACATCAAGTCCTAAAGTGGGACATGGTCGGTCTGGGGCACCGTTCCCCCCCCCCCCCCCCTACCCCCCCTGCCGAAATGAATGTTCTCGCTGGCGCCGGCAAAGATGGCTAATGTATTTGCGTAGGGTAGAAAGGAGGAGGGCGGAGAGGACAACGGAGCGAGGGGAGCGGGGAAGCACGCGAGCATGCGCACATTTTGCTGCTCTTGATGCCCAGCTTTCCCGGGCTGCGGGAGGAAGAGAAAATCCGCTACTTCTTCTTCCTAAATGCCACACAAGGGACACGATGGAAGGGAGGTTAGTGCTTTGAGCAACTGAGGAGGGGGGGAGAAAAGGAGAAACGTACTTGGAGCCCTTGCTCTCAAAGTCCTGGAGAGCCTTCTCCAAGACCGGCTTGTACTCCTCCGAGGCCAGGTAGGCCAGCAGCGCCTTCGGTCCGTTCTTCTCGAGAGCCTTGACGATCTCCGGGATCAGGGGGTTGCCGGCGGCCTTGAACACAGACTCCTCCCCATCCAGCGGGAGCCCGGCCATCTCGGCGGGGAAGAAGGCAATGTCATTGCCCTGGATATTGAACTCGACCAACTTCGAGAGCTTGCCAATCTCTGGCGGGAGATGCGTGAGGCGGTTGTCACGGAGAGAAATCTAACCCGAACGGGGCCACAAACGAGGGACCGGAGAGGGCGTTAGCTGCTTGTCCACAGGGGCAAAGGGAGCGCCCATGCTCATGCCAAATGGGCCCGTACAAGGGAGAGGTTGGTGAGATTCCCAATCTCTGCCGGGAGACTGGTGATCTTGTTGTCCGAGAGGAAGAGGTGACGCAAGGTGGCTACGACATGGGAGTGGGAGGCAAGTCCCGGGGCAGGGGGGAGGGGACACGAGAGGCAAGCAACACCGGTCAGGACGATGAGCCAGAGCAACATGACAGAGAG